ATCTGTACGTGCGAAAAAAAGTTGTGAATTTAAAAAATATTTTGCATAGCGAGAAGTTGAAAAAAAGCTCCAAATTCTCAGTCCAAATTTATTCTAAAGATCTCATTTAGGATGAAAGGTTTGGCTCGTAAAATCCAAGGATTTGGATTTTAAGTTCATATCCCGTGGGATTTATCCCCGCGCTAAAACCTCTCCTTATTTGCTCCATCAAGTATCTCTCCCTCGTCTTGTCGAGGCTCGTCGAGGATCATAACTTGCGACAGCTTTATCTCGTGGGATACGCGTTCCGTGAGTAACGCACGTCGCACTTTCCTTGTACATTAAAAGGAATCGTTATCGACGCGCAGGATCGATTCCACGGCCGACGACCGTGGTCGGGAACCGGTTTCTGAGTCTCGTCTGGATGCGTTTTCGGTCTGACTCTCGTCTCAACGACTCCGATCCCCGATCGACTCGCCTTGGTCGATTACGCGGCCAGGATCAGCAGGATGTTGCGCAAGATCATGACTCCCTCGATACGCGTTCCGACGATTCCGAGGCCTCGGTACAAGCGATTCATTATTCCTTTTTCGGAGGATCGGCGATTCTCGTTCGTGACTCTCGTGACCTACATCGATATACGCGTTCTTCTGAATACCAAAGACCACAGAGGCCATCCTCCACCAAACAGCATCCAGGATATATCAGGGTATTTCAAAAATAAAAATCAATCACTCGGGAGATGATCGAGGATTGATTCCAGAAACAAGAAGAAAAATTAATATGAACATAGATCCGGAAATGCATTGTTTTCCAGTTATTGCCATTTTTATGTTGTATGAAATTTGCTTTGCTTTCGAATTTTTTTGTCAAAAATTGAAAGAAGAGTCTTATAATTAAAGTCAAAGAAAACTTGCGGACTTTAGCACTGGGGATGCAACTGTAGGATTCTGACTTCTGCCAAGGGACAAAGTGCGCTAACCAAGCTACATCTTCATGTGATACATCCTGGCTAGTTGAAATTTGAAACTTCAACAAAAATAACGATAACTTGAAAACAATGCATTTCCAGACGTATATTCATATCAACTTTTTTTCTTGTTTCTGAGTCTCCAATCACCCCCCCCCTCGCCCCCGGGCGATTGATTTCCATTTTTGAAACATCCGATTAAAAGATACGATCGAAGATATATTGCAATTTTCATGCAACAAGAACGAATAAAATATTGCTTAGTCTTTCGGCGTTCAATTATTAATATCCAAACGACCGCGCGTGAAATGGCCGAACGTAAATGTTCAGCATCGCACATTTGACGCACCTCGACATAAACCGCAATATCGCAAGTGTGCATCCATCAAAACGAATGAATTCGAGCCTCGAGTGTGAGCGAGAAGTGGATGAAGGTTAACACCAAGCTCAACGTCAAGCATTCGGTAGCTTATCGGGAGCGCGTGAGCTGGTAGCCTATTTATCGTGCAAAATAAATACTCCGATTTAATTCTATTCCCGAGTCGAACGCGTAATTTTTATCGGCGAATGACTCATCGCATTGCGCTCGTGTCGGAATTTTATCGTACGAACGGCGAACGACGATCGTTCGTGAACCACTGCTCGTATTGTTTGAGCGTTGCGATACGAGTTTGCCGAGAAAATATTAATGTTCTTTTATAAACTGCAATTGTTGCCAGGGTTGTCATTTAAGGCAATGATAATTGATCGATGATCTGATTTATTTTTAAATCTGAAATCTATTTGAAATTTATGATTACGTCATTCGTTTTGTAAATCTTTTTTTTTTTTTTTTTTAAGCTTCACTAGTAGAGTTTTTTCTTAATAATATATATCAGTCGGCATTTTTATTTCTGTCGTAATGACATTCGTAATTCACTTCAGCGTACGTTTTTTTCCTCGTCTGCTAGCGCGAAATTTGATTGGAGTATCTGTACATTTTTCTGTCCCACGGCACGAAAACCGCGGGATGTCGGTATTACAACCCTTTGAATAAGCCCTCAAGGAGTAACCAATTTCTCTTCTCCTCTCGAGATCGTTTTACGTACACGTCCGCTTTCCTTCGCCTTCATCTTCTAAAATTGATGATACAGCCCCCTGAGAATATTCACCGAAGCAAGTTTTCACGCTGCGCTTATAGATAGATGCATTTATGTCTAATCACGCGAGCAGATGATGGAGCAACTGTAATTTGACAGCTTAATTATCTCGGACGTTTAATAAGCAAAACGGGGAGAAGCAAATTTCCTTGTTTCCTCTCCCCATCTTCGTACTTTCATCTTTATTTCTATATATTCTATATATCCGAAATAATTGATTGTTCGTAAACTAAAGAACACCCGGTAGTATCAGAATGTTTTACATTTCCACCGTTTTATCCCCGGCTAGTTATTTGCCTAAATGACG